TAAAAAACGTTATCATCTTTAACTGGATATGGTACAAAAACTATAAAAAACGTTATCATCTTTAACGGGATATAGTACAAAAACTATAAAAAACGTTAATTACACACCAGACTTGGGTTTCCTCAGTTACAGCATGTAATTTACAAAATCTCTCTCAGTTTGATTGTGTATTAAATGAAAACAGATTTTTGTGAGTTACTTTCATTATTTTTATATTCAAGATATTTCACTATATTCTATAGGTGGCGCTCATGATTGACGGACAGAGGGCGCTTCCTCCAGATATGCCTCAGTTGGAGAACCTGGACGTAGATTGTGCAAAAGATGGGATGACAGTGACGGTCGAGTTTGATAAAACCTTCGGAGGGATTATTTATTCCAAAGGATATTATGACGTCGACATTTGTCGTTTTGTCAGCGCCACCTCACGAGAAGCACGTAGTTTCACATTCCAGATCCCTCTGGCGGCGTGCGGGACAGTAGGTCAATTCGAGGTTCTAACACGTGACCAGGATATGTATCTAGAGAATACGGTAATCATACAGAATGACCCCTATATTCAGGAGGCGTGGGATCAAGCTCGGCGTCTTCGGTGCGTATGGAGTCACACACTGACCAAAACCGTGTCCGCCCGACCTTTCGAAGTCTACCAGCCTTTCACAGTACCAGTAACTTTCACCCAAGATACCATCAATACCCTTATGGAGGTTCAGGTAGGGAAGGGGCCCTTCTCTGCCCCTGCTTCTGGATACTTACACGTTGGAGATGAGACTAGCCTTGTGGTTTACCTCCAAGACCCGACTAACAGATTTGACGCCCAGATGATGGGATGCGAGGCGTCCAACGGTAAAGGACTTTCTGTTCCTCTGACCGACGAGAACGGTTGTGTCAAACGACCTGAAATAATGACACCATTTTACAAGACACGCGACACGCGCGACACAGGCGCTGATCTGATTATCTACACTTACTTCAAAGCTTTTAAACTACCAGACACTACACACTTCTATATTCGGTGTGACATGAAAGTGTGTCTCAAGAAGTGTAATGCTCATTGTGTTCCTCACGCCGGCAACAAAACGTCTCGACACCGACGTAACGCCGACGAAGTTGTCAAAACAACACAACTTTTTCGTGGATTAACTGTGTTTTCTAAAGAAAACCTAGAGATGGCGCTTTTTGCCACAGCGGAGAATTACTGTCTGTCAAAATCTGCCCTTATAACGGGAGGATCTGTTGGAATAATGGTTCTCATATTGCTTGTTGTCGTGGTTGTAACAGGTTTTAAAAAAATCAAAGGTTATCAGTGCTACTGAAAAAATGTGAAGGTATTTAAATTAAGAACTAATGTCCACCGTTTAGTCCATGAATCATGTGCAGTAACGTTTAGACCATAAATCATATACCCAATTCACCTAAATGACTGCAGTAACGTTTAGACCATGAATCATGTGCAGTAACGTTTAGACCATGAATCATGTGCAGTGACGTTTAGACCATGAATCATGTGCAGTAACGTTTAGACCATGAATCATGTACCCAGTTCACCTAAATGGTAAAATAATGTAAGTAAACTTGCAACTAACGACCGCAGTAACGTTTAGACCATGAATCATGTGCAGTAGCGTTTAGACCATGAATCATGTGCAGTAACGTTTAGACCATGAATCATGTACCCAGTTAACCTAAATGGTAGAATAATGTAAGTAAACTTGCACAAACAACTAAACACTTGTAAATTCTAACTTTTATATCTCTCGGATTTACTGATACTTTGTACTGAATCTGACAGAAGTTTTTATGTAGCAGGAAAATGTTTATTATGCATCTTTAGCTCTTTGAAGATGTATTCATAATATTAACTGTGTGAAGATTTGGTCACAACTAGTGTAGAAAATTGATCTAGTGTGCTGACAGGTAGTTTCAGGTCGTATCTGTAGCGCATTCTCCAATGTGTTACAGTGACAGGTAATTGTAAACCGTATCTGTAGCAGATTATCCAATGTGCTACAGTGACAGGTAATTGTAAACCGTATCTGTAGCAGATTATCCAATGTGCTACAGTGACAGGTAATTGTAAACCGTATCTGTAGCAGATTATCCAATGTGCTATAGTGACAGGTAATTGTAAACCGTATCTGTAGCAGATTATCCAATGTGCTACAGTGACAGGTAATTGTAAACCGTATCTGTAGCAGATTATCCAATGTGCTACAGTGACAGGTAATTGTAAACCGTATCTGTAGCAGATTATCCAATGTTTTTTATTTATTTGTTCTTCTAGCAGGTAGTTCTAAATCGTATCTGTAGCGCATTCTCCAATGTTTTATTGTGACAGTTAATTGTAAACCGTATCTGTAGCGCATTCTCCAATGTTTTATTGTGACAGGTAATTGTAAACCGTATCTGTAGGGCATTCTCCAATGTTTTATTGTGACGGGTAATTGTAAACCGTATCATTAGCGTATTCTCCAATGTTTTATTGTGACAGCTAATTGTAAACCGTATCTGTAGCACATTGAAA